TAGTATAATAAAAGTTTCTGCTGACACAAATGCTTAACACACACACACACCACACCACATATGTGTAATGCACACTGAGCAAATAATCCAAAGCAGATAATTTGTTCTTCAATGTCAACATTGTTTTATTGGTTATACGTTGCAACATAAAAATTGACAGATAATGGATAATTTTAGAAAAGCTGTCTTGACAACATCGTAAGGATTTACATCTACTGAGGTGTCACAATTGGTGTTTTTAACACACTTAAGTACTAATATTGCTAAATAATAATTTAAACTCAACTTCATATATCATATTTAATTATTGTATTACTCATATTCTATACTTTTTGTCATTTTAAATATTTTAAAATTGTATTAATTTCATAATTATTATATGTGGTCACTTACAATTATACCAAAGACTTTTTGTTAAAAGAAGTTTAAATAATTACCCACACATATACAAATTTGGGTAAAATAGTTCATTATGTTAGTTATTATTATTCTTATGTTATTGAAAGATTTACTACTAAAATGATTATTGTGACATGATTACAGTGATGTATAATATATGTATAATTCATGATGCACACACTGTGAGGATGCAGTCTGGGGGCAGTGCGCGACGGTCAGTTCCCCGGATGAAGGCTGAGCGTGAATATGGCGCAGAGAACACGAGCAACGCGCTCGTGCGGGTTTCTGTGACTGATATACGCGCACTTAGCTCGCTTAAGCTAACTTTACACACAAGAAACTTCACCGACCCTATGAAGTTTATTTCTCTGCAGACACACTTCTCACTACAGGTAGGACGTCTTTAAAGCGATTTGTATTACAAACGTGAGTTGTTTTGTATGCCAGCGCAGGTTGTTTTTGTGTCAGCCTGTAACGTTAGTTTCGGTGAGTTTGTTCGTCGTGCTAATTTAGCTAATTCTTCATACAGCTAGCTGAGTAGCTTAGGCTACTCAGTGTCAAAACATTAATTTGAGTCATGAAAGATACTAACTATAAAGTTACTCTGTTTTTAATGTCATTTAAGTGTACATGTGTTTTCAGGTTTCGATGAGAATGATTTACAGTAGTTTGCAAATATTACAATTATTCCATCCCCTTTTTTCACTCAGACTAGGATCAAGGATATATCAAGGATAAGTGCTCCTGAATTGCTATCATGAAAGGTTGAAATTATTCATTATATCAGTGTTAGAATGCGACTAAAACTACCTAAAAGTTTGGCTAAAGTGTTCACGCGTTACAGCCAGTGACATAACACACCAAATAAGTACGTTAACGTTAACACAAATGACTCAAATGAATTAGACTCGCTGTTCTGTTCGAGTTTGTTAATTCCTCAAAATGTGGGAGGAAAATTTTTAACGGGACTGATGAGACGTTGTGAGGCTGATACTGTCCATACAGTAACTAATCTATTTTTTAAGTTTGTTTTACATAAAATCTCATGATAAAGGTCACATTACCTTTTATCTGTGTAATGTGGACGTTTCTTCTCTATGTATATTAGTCGTGTTTAGTATCGATAGTTCTGAGTGGGCAGTATGATTGCACCTGTAGTATCGATTCTGGTTGATTCAGTGTATGTATGGCATGATGAGAGTCATAGTTTATATCATCTAACAGAGAGTAGCTGCCTCTTCTAAGTGGTGTAAAGCAATTCTTTAATAATTTATCAACATATTCAGCATAGGTCAGCTTGTTTGACCTTAACTAAAGCATGACAGTTAAAAAAAAAAAAGTTTGCATGTGTTTTATGTTTTGTATCATGTTATGCATCAGGAATGTATGGCTAATATGGCATAGTGAGAATATGAAGTTCATACTCAAGGAGGGGGAAAACAAATAAATTTTATTCAGAGAACAAAAATGAGAAAACATGCAATTTGGTACAGTTGCTGAAACTCAATATGGGCAAAAAACCATGAAATTCCAAAAGCTTGTAATGTAAATCAATGATATCTTCATAACTGTATAGCAGGCAACTTGCATAAAATGCATGTACAGTTGTCACTATATCTCCCAATAATTAGTCCTATTACGATAATGTAGAAATGTTTAGTTTTATTATCAAAGCTCTGAAGATTTTATTGTATTGGCAAAACGTATAATATAATGCAATGCAGTACAATGATGATTGAGAGATGAAATTCCTCAAAAGCCTGATGTATCATATTTGATACTCACATTTTAACATGATTTTTCTGCAAAATGATGTATGGATAATCAAGTAAACCAGAGCCGCTTCAGTCGAGTAAGTGTTCATCTTGAGATATAACTAACAATATAAAAGTTTTTGTGTACTTTATAAATAGCATTAAAGATTTCACAGCAAAAATATGGGGGAAAAGATTCTAAAAGGTGCCATAATTATCTTAAAAGGCCTTTTGCATGCTAAAAGTGATCAACTATTAGACGATAGAAGGCATGCAGTAGATTGTGTACAACAGGTTTTTCAGCAAAAGTTTTGATCGTTTTGATAATTCATAGGCCTAACAAGTATGATAAAGTAGGATTTTATAGGATTAATTGTGTTTTTCCTGACTAATAGTTGAGACTAACTTTTAGCAGATGTCACTTTTAGTTTATCTGTGATTGTGTGTGCAACATGAAATATTGGAATGCTGCCTTTATCTTTGTGTTGATGAACTAGGCCTGGGCGATAAAACGGTATCGATATTTATTGATGGTACACCTTCTTCGATATCGATAGAAAAAATGTTCGATATAGCGCACGATATAGGCACGTGCTATGAGTGACGCAGACAGCACACATGAACACATGCTGAAATGAGTGCTGTGCCTGCCTGTGATGAGGAGATTGTGAATAAAGAATGAATATTAGTCGAATTTAAAGGGGTCCTATTATGCTTTTTCACTTTTTTAATTTTAGTCCATGTGCATGTTTGGGCATAAAAAAGATCTAGAAAGTTACAAATCTCAAAGTTCACTCCAAAGGGAGATATTTCGTTTTTAAAAAATCCCTTTTCAATAACTACAACGAACGACTGGTTTGGACTACAGCGTTTGTTTTCCGGGCTTTGTGATATCACAAAGCGGCTCATTGGAATATCATTACAAATAATTCCCGCCTACAGAAATTCGAATGGTTGGGGGGTGGGGAGGGGCGA